CTTAAGCCTAATAAGGCTAACCCAACCGACCTCCGGTCAAGCCTAACAAGGCTCAGTACCGCCTGCTGATTGACACCAGCGGTCGTACTGGGGGTTGCTGCTGACTTCGTATAACTAGTCCTGTACCGTGTATGACGTCGTATGCTCAGGCCATAGAGCACCGTCAAGGGCGCTGTCGGGATCTCCCGGGAATACTGTCAGGACCCAAATCAGGAAAGCGTCAGGATGGCACGCCCAACGTGATGCAGCCGTTAGCCTTACTGGCATAGCACGGTCTTCACTTTTAATAGTCACATAGTCATAGGCTTCTATAATTCATCTAGCTACTAATATGTAGTGTGATAATAAAGATTGTGTAGCCTATATAGTTAAGCAAATAATAACAGCCATCTGCATAGTGAAGACAATCAAACTTAGAGGGCGGAAGGGCCGGAGAATGATGCAAAGCAAAGGATGTTCCCCTGGCACAGCACCATTGAGCCCGTCCAAGGTTCCGAGAGGATGGGGTTGGCGGCGCTGGAGCTCGTCCATGAACATGGCGAGGTCACCGGTCGGGAAGCATGACTCGTTGATCATGCCTGAGGAAGAGGGATCGAACACTGCTCCGGCCATGGCACCAGGGTCATCACTTGGAAGGAGGCTCTGATTGACCCCAGCAAAGTTGGCACTGGTACGGAGATGACCAGGAAAGGTGCAGTCAGGGGTGGTGACTTGGGATGCCACATTTTCGCGGGATGCTGCGGGTAGAGGAGGGATGTTCTCCTTGTTGGAGACATACAAGATAGCCATCGCACTTGCCAGAGCCATAAAAGAAGGCATAGACGGCAGTGACCATGCATGTTCGGGCCCCACGACAGCGGCTTCAGATGGAGGGGCTTCGCCGCGGGCTATGACCTGGCACCCCGAGTCTCCGCCATGAGGTCCAATGACACTGACCCCACCCGTATCCGCCTCACCATTGCCACTTTGGCTGGTCTCCTCTGCATCCGACTGCTCATCGTCCTCGATGATCTCCCTGCTCTTGGGACCCGACATTGTTTTGCTCTTCTTGCTCGCAGGCCCGCTTGATGATGAGCCCCTTTTGCGCGCGATCTCCGCAAGCTCCAAAGCACCATCGCCCTCTTCAACAGGTCGACGGTCAAGCATGGCAACTGGATCATCTGAATCACCCCGCGCATGCTCGCTGTTCAGTCGCACCAGCTCATCAGGGGTGATCGCCTCCCAGTGCACCGTGCCATCTTCCCATAGCTTGTGCAATCACTGCAGTTGAGACAGCCGGGTGGCGACAGCACTGAGATTTCCAAACTGAATGTCAGTCGGCCAGCCCACGATAATGACACAGCGCATCTGCACGATCCTCTTGCAGTACTTCGTGTACTCCATCTTGACTGTCCTACTGCTCGTGATACGGACTTGATAGGCATCAGCACAACATATGCCTGCGCTGAAATTAGTACATACCTAGTCCTTCTTGAATAAGGTCTCGGACCGTGGCTCTTGTTTCCGAAACAGCAGATTTGTATGTGATGGCCGAACCTAAAAGGGGATCAGTACTGTACTCAGTAGCAAGACTGCAAAATCACCTTTGAGGCCAGCAAGCGCATAATGTTCCATCTTGGTTAAGAAATCTTGGGGGTCGAGGTTGCGCATGGTGCTCAGGTAGTCCTTTACACCTTCGGTAGCGAAGAAGGCGTTCTGCCACACCAGGTCAGATGTTCCCCTGCATGCGAACATCAATACTTCAACACCTATTCGCAGCCTAAGCCCTTGGGTCTAGATTGGCTCGGTTCAGCGTCTTTCCAATGGGCTGAGTCCCTGCTAAGCTCACCTCATTGGTAAACGCCTTGAAGACAGCATTGATATCATTCACCTTCGACCGGTTATTAGGCCTTTGAACCATTGCATCCGCCTGCTGAGCTTGATTCAGCCTCTCGGTCAAGGCCTCCTTCTCGCTTGCTGTGAGTGCCTCGTAGGTCTTCCGGAGCTCGGGGTCTCTTACGCGCTTGATCAAGGCGTCTTTTCCTGTCATACCTGATATCTGCGTCACTATTGCTGCCATGTAGGATTCCAGGCAATTAACGTACCGTCATCCCCACAGAATTTTACATATGCATTCCAGGGGTGCGCTGCCCGTGTCGAAGACAATAACTTGGTCTTACCCAGGGGCAAATCTGCCTCGACACTCTGTACTGATCTGCTGTGCTTTTCCGCAAGATTAGCCTTCATCTCGTCGATTCTCTCCCATAGCTCGATGAGGTCAGTGGTGTAGAGTTGCCTTCTCCTCTGCTGAGCAGCCTTTAGACTCACCTGAATGACCCCTGTGGGCCGAACACGCGACACTGTAACTTCTGGCTGCACGGCAACAGGTGCCGCAGTGTCTGGCGGTTGATTCTCGGGCTCCCGTTGAGCCTTCTTCTTGGACTTTGAGCTTCGAGCTTTGGCCATGAATGGTACAGAGAGGAGGATAGTCGTTTTGAGGGCATGTACTGCGCCACGCAAGGCCTTGGCCTGGGGAGTAAATGAGGTCACGTGCCTGCACCAGTTAGATGAGCTGCTATTTGGTATCATGTATAGGTAGCAATACTGTACATATTGAAACAGCTGTGAGGACTGATCATAGCAAAGATAACATGTACATGGTTAGTACTGATGCAACAAGGAACCAGATGAACAAAATGACTCTGAGGCACCGGTAGACCCATTGCAGAAACGGCTATTGCACCATGAAACAAACAATATCTCAGAACGTAAACTGTGAACAAAGTAAAGGGGCATTACCTTAGGCTGTAGCATCTTCATTTCCTCTATGTCCTCCTGCAACGCCATCGCCACCTTGAGTGCATCTTCGGCATTCAGGCCCGCGGCCGTCAGCCTCTTCTCCCAATGATTCCGGTGCGTATTGCTTGTGAGCTCACGCAGGAGCATGATGATTGTATCATCGAGGCAAAGGGTGTCAATGAGCTCGTTGGTATGAGAACCAATGCTACGGATTACATCCGGAGCTGCACAGAGTATAGCCATTGAAACTTTAAGAGGTTGGAATGGAGCCGTGATGGGAGCTGAGGAAGCAGAATGGACAGTAGATGGAGGTCTGGACGAACGTACAGTTGCGCTGGCAGCGCCTTCTAAGGATAGTGTGCCTGCTTTGTCATTGTGGGTCCCAAGCGTGTCAGACCCCACTGTGCTGGATTGTACGTGACGCACACCAGCCTGTGTCGAACGGCCTTGGGCTCTTCCTTGTTCATGGGTCTTCTCAAGCTTGTCCAGCATTCTTTGTGAATTACCATTGGGCACCCACCCGTCATTGAGCAGCTCGTCATCATCCACCAACACCTTGCTGGTGGGAGCATTGGCAACAGACTTCTTTGCCGCAGGAGCTTTACCTGCCGACTCTAACGCGCACAAGAGAAATGCGCTCTTGAATTGGTACCAGGCTCCACCCGAGCGAGATGCAGGAGGGATGTCAAAGGGTGCAGGTAATTCCACTATGGGTCTGGCGTTTCGCTCCCCTTGGTAACCATAGAGCAGCGGAGGGGTACCGGAAGCTTCATGCCTAGCCTGGATGGTCTGCAAGTGTTTGAATGGAATTTCTTTTGCGAAGATCCCAACAATTTCCGAGATGGCGTGGTCCAATTCCGCGCGATGCCCTGCACCCAGCTCGCGGGGTGGGAGGTATGTATCAATGCAAAGATCCTTGACAGTGCACGTCTGACTTGTTGGCAGGGTTCCAGGGACTCTGAGAACCATGGTGAACCCACCGTCTGCCCTGTCCAGTGCTGTTGCCTTTGATACTTCAACAATCTGCCATGGAATGAATTGTGCCAACTCACGGCATCGAATATATCCTCTAACATCTTCTTCTGCTCCCGAAACCCCCTCTCGCTTGCTTTCTCGTACGACTGTGATGTGTCTGCCAATGCGAAGTGGTTCATATGAATCCCGTCCTTTCTGCCGTGCAGCACGAAATGCTTTGCGTCGGCATACATCCCGTGTTGATTCAAAGCCTGTATTGCAGCTTGTGCATCAGCAGAAATGGAGGTCATCAGCCTGGTAGGCAAGTTTGACATTGTAGTGCATTGTAGGTGGGTTTTCAAACGTATGCGGGGTCGAGTGGCTGCACACGCAGAGTCGATCGAGCATTCCGCACTGCCAGTATGTGTCCGATTAATGTCCGAATAGACAGTCTCCCTCATTGTGACCTCTCCTCCCCTCTTCATCCCATTACAATGCAGGCGTATGTCTTGATCATGCCTCGATGCCTCACCTTGTCAATGGTGGGATAAATTATAATCAATCCAAACATACACCAGACATAAGTGTACACCATAGAATACAACATTCAAGTTATCCTGAAATAGTCTCAATGAACGTAGTCATATCCTCTACCTGCTGCGAGAGCTCGTCATCATGCTGAATATCCGCTACCTGCCCTTCATCTTCTATTGACTCTGATGATGCACTCCTTGACGCACCAGAACAGTCCGAGCATGAATTCCAGCCCAAGTCGGTTGATGGTAGTGCACCTAAACGAACACCTACATCTGAAGGGGCAGAGGAACCATGGAGTGCTGAAAGGCGGTCGAGGCGCGCGATATGGACAGCGTTGACATTGCGGCGCAAGACCCATCGCTTTCGGACCTTGGATGCTAAAGCAGGATCTGATTCACCTAGCCTTCCAATGCAAGCAGTGGTAGAGTCCGTTTGATCTGCTATAAACGTCCGCAGACGGTGCGCCTCAATGTCCAAGCATACAATCTCCTCCTTGGCCCACTCCAACCTTTAACGTGAGCTCCCGCTGTGTGGGCTGCACCCAGCTCACATTGCAGATGTCAACGCGTGAGTGCCATAGTAAGTCGAACTCGCCAAGGAACGTATACTCAACAATCTCCGTCCACGAGAGCTCTGGACACAGAGGAGAATGAGCGTGAGCAACAGCGTTATATTTCTTCAAAATCGCGGTGGACCGGTGTTGTAGTGCCTTAGTGATCTGTTGAGGCAGCTTATAGCCTGCGAGAGATTGTTAACTGTAGTATCTGCATGCAAAATCTGTGCTTACCGGTGCCTGACAGATTGAGCTTCGAAAGCTCAAAAAGGCGCTGGACTACTAGGCGCTCCAGCTCATCAAGCACCTTTCTATACTTCCGCTCCCGGAGTTTGTCTTTCATCTCTTGATAGTCGGTGTTCTCGGGCGTCCAGCGTGTCCGAAGCTGGAGGGCAGCTTTCAGCTGTGTAGCGGTGGTTTCTGCATTTTCGAACTTCGTCTCTGCTGAACAGATCGATCGTCCTGCACTCATGAGGGACTTGTGTAGATTGGGGAGAGCAGGCGTGGTTGTGAGGTACTTGAGATGCCTTCACGCAGACTCTAGAGCCTCTCTGCGAGCAGATTAGAACAGCCAGTGAGTGCAATTAAGCGTACATACTGTTTCTTCTCCACCTCTTTGAGAGCTTCCATGTATTGGAACCGGAGACTTTCCTCAGGCAGCTCCTTCTTCAAACTTTGCAGGTAATCTTGCTCTTGTTGAACGAAGTCGTGGCAGTCATTATCCGATAGGCCCAGGCTCTCCTGCATCCGACGGATCTCAGGGGGATGGGTTTCGATGATCCGCAGCGCTTCACGGTAGTGGTTTGTGAGAAAGGTTGCTGAATACACCAATGTTAGCAATACATTGCTCATTTATGGGGCAAGACTCACACAATGCCTCATATTTGTCAATGTTCCAGAACGTGAGATGTTCGTCAATAGCTTGCTGGCGATGGAACCGTGAGGCGTGTTGTGTGCCCGATGCTACAGCATTGGATGCCGAGAATACATGTTCACACCCCTCAAAGTCTGAACATCCCGTACCCTCGACATACGTAGGGTGCCACCGTAGCTGGCATCCGCGGTTATGTGCGTGGCCGTGGAAAGCACCAGCCACAAAGCGAAGGCCATGCTCCTTGGCCTTCGATGCCAGGCTGCTCCGGGCGACTGTACCGTCAAAAGCGCACCCAATGTCATACCCTATACAGATCTTTTTCCCATATAAAGCAATCAATCTATCAACAATCGCTAACCCATATTTAGCTCTGTCTATACAATGAATGATATGCCAAAGATATACATCACTAACACGTACAGTTCCCCACTGCGAACCATGTCACAGATCACCAAGACTATGCCATGACGGCATGCCGCAATGAACAGTCCAGATTCTTCAAACAGTGTAAACATACGCTTGCACTGGTCGGGACCTGCGTTACGCCACCACTCAATACAGGTTGCTACCGGATCATCAGATCCTGGCTCATCCTCCCAGTCATCATCTGGGTCTTGATCAGTGGAGTCGTCTTCTGCGCCATCTTTACTAGTACCCGGGTTGCGCTGGCATGGACGCATGAGATTAGAATGGGCAAGAAAGAGAGCGATCACATACCTTCACGTCATCCTTGAAGCGGTCGACATACTCCCTACTAATCCAAAATGGCCCTCTCGGCTGTCGGGAATCTATGCGTTCGAGCCACTCCCGAGATGCTGGGTCCAATCGCTTGAGGGAATTATTCCCGTCCATCTCACAAAGAAGTGAAAACTTCAGGGGGGGCTCATCCTGTAATTTATACGCACACGTTGGACAAGCGTCGTGATTCTGAGCATCGGGGTAATCCTCATTCATAGCGGCACGGATCTGCGCATCGACACGGGAGAGGACTTTGGGGTAGATGTTGTACGCGATGGTGAATTGCTCACATAGATGTCGGTGATAAGGAATCTATGTAGTGCATTAGTGATCATGAGCAAAACGCCAAAGCCGTGATAGGTACATACATTGTGTAGATGGCAGAGCTTCCGCACCTCACCCTGTACACTCAGTCGAGGGCAGATTCGGTGGGTCTGGCGGTATACTGCCAGTGTGCGGTGATATGCACAGACACACAACAATCACCAAGGACAAAAGGAATAAACCTAAACCCCGTGATATGGGTGAAGGCGGTCCGAGACAACTGAAGGGTATTTAATAGTTCGAGGGGGAAGGAGGAGTAAGATGCCATAGGGTAGTCCGTAGGAAGACCTAGAAAAATAAAACAAAAACCTTGACGCCTGAAACAAACACTAATGGACGCTCCGGAGTATTTATTTCCGGAAAGTCACAGACAAAGTCGCAAACCACAGAACCGAGTGTAGGTTCGGGCCCACGGGAGTAGAAAACGCTAGAAAGACTTGTTTAATTTTACTTCGCTATGTGAGACTCACCGGAGATAATTAAACCAACGGCAGAGATAAATCACTCGACGAGTCAGGCCTATTGGCAAAGCTAGGATCGGTTATAATTCGCTAAGTTCGACGCTTTCAAACTTTGAGGGTCGCTGAGATCGAAACGCTAATTCTCTGAGATGGTGAAGTGCAAAACTTGTTTTTCTGTACACTACTTTGTACAATTTATACTACAGGGATGGATTTGCGACCATCCGGAGATAAATAACAAATAACTGCCGCTACCCACAGGATTGCTCAGCACTTGCCGCCGCTATACCATGCACCATATGACTCCCTTGCACTCCTACTTGCTCGTCCCAACCCCTAGA